GCTTTTCTATTTTTAGAATTCCCGTTTTTAGAAAAGCTCTTTTTGGCTTCCTTAGCAAAATATCACATTATTACTACATCTAGATCTAATAGCTTTATTCTTCGTAGGTTTTAATTATGGGAAATGTTGCGATTTTTTTTTCGCATTTTTTAATTATGTTAGTTTAGGGCCGGATATAGCCTGAATGGTATTCATACACAAATATAGATCGACTTAGTTCCTGTATTAAGTAAGTGAAATTATTGTTTTTTTTATTTATATATTTCTTATGATTCATTTATTATTAGTGTGTACTGAGGGGTAGTGTGAAGAATAAAAAAAAATAAGTTTATTTTATTCAAAATTGTGTTTACATCTTCTAAACATTTTTAAGTGTTAGAGTAAATAGACTAGAGTATTTACTATGTGTAGCCTACACTCCTTTAAAGGTCACTAGCACGGCCGCCTACTACCAAAAAAAAAAAATCGATGCATTGAGTTATTTCCCTTGTTATGGCGGATAAGCCTCGACACCGTCCATTAAGACACCAACCCTTAGCGTGGGCGAGAAATTAACTTCGTTGCTTTGGGTAAAACTTTTTAGATTAACCATAGTCGGTCAACCGACCTTCGATCTATATCTGTGTGGCTCTCAGATATTTTTTTAATGTTGAAATTTGAAAATATTTACTTTTATGTTGGGATGTTTCCAATTCTAAGACGGTACCATAAGCACATAAATCAGTACGGGATGACTATGGTTACTACATGGTGGTCGATGTTCTAGGTTCGAATCCGGATGGGTCAGGCTGAAACTGTTAAACAAACACGCCCGGTTGCTGTGTCGAAGTAACCTTTCTTTAAAAGAGCAATGATGTACTGGGTGGCAGGAAAAAGATGCAACCCAATGCTATCGTAATGTTAAAAGATAACTAATCTAAAGACAGCAAATATTCGCTGGGAACAATCCTGATAGCCCAAACAATGAAATACATTCATTCTTTCTGTATCCCTTCATATTATCTCTGTCTCTACTATCTCTCTCTTGTTCTCTCTCGCGCGCTCTCTCTCTCTATTGTTGTCTTTTTGTCTCTCTCTCTTTCTGTCTCCCTCCGTCTTTCTCTCTCTCTCTCTCTCTCTCTCTCTCTCTCTTTTTTCTCTCTCTATTATTCTCTCTCTCTCCATTGTTGTCTTTCTCTCTCTCTATCGTTTTCTCTATCTTTCTCTCTTTCTCTCTCTCTCTCTCTCTGTATCCTTCTTTCTCTCTTTCTCTCCCTCTATCGTAGTCTCTCTCTCTCTCTGTCTCCCTCTATTGATGTCTCTCTCTCTCTGTCTCCTTCTGTCTCTCTCTTTCTCTCCCTCTATTGTTGTCTCTCTTTCTCTCTCTCTCTCTCCCTCTCTCTATCTTTCTCTCCCTCTATTGTTGTCTATCTCTTTCTCTCTCTCTCTCCCTCTCTCTCTCTTTCTCTCCCTCTATTGTTGTCTATCTCTTTCTCTCTCTCTCTCCCTCTCTCTCTCTCTTTCTCTCTCTATTGTTCTCTCTCTCTATCTGTCTACATCTAACTCTCTCTTTCTCTCCCTCTATTATTGTCTATCTCTCTCATCTGCTTTCTCCAACTTTGAACAACATAACCCACTTCCGCCCTCATTGTTTTTCCACACTGGCCGCCATTGTTGCTCGGGCTTCCGGTAATGACGTATTATTTTTCTGTCTGTACTTTATTATCTGCCCCAAATAGCGGCCCCTGACCCCGGTACGAGTGCAGGTGTGTTCATATTGTCTTATGTTGGAGGAAACAGATCTGATGTATCATCGTTTATAGGATTGGGTTTTAAGAAAAGGTCTCTAAATTGATATATTTTCAACATCAGATTTTTAGAGAAAGGTCATATTCTTTTACCATGTTAGATTTTAAGAAAAAAGTTTAATTTATATTATTTTATAACATTTCGGTTTTAAGAAAAATGTTCTAATATATATTCTTTTAGAACATAAGGCTTTTAAGAAAAAGGCTCCTATTTGAATTCGCTTGTGATTGTATAGGGGAGATAACTTTTATAGTCAGCTTTTCTCATTTTTTTTCCTCAAAATTTCCCCTGGACCTCAAATGTCTAGCTTCGCCGTTGCCAGAATGTCAGGACTCAACTAATTAAATGAATTAGGTAATTTAATTTTCTTTAACAAATTTTGTTTATCTTTGTTCTTGAAATACAAACACACTTGTCGCCCAAATCAAATTTATAATTTTTTTTCTCTCATTACATTTACAGAGATATATTATTTCGCTCAATATTTACTCAAATCAGATTTATAATTTTTTTTTTTTTTTTTTTTTTTTTTTTTTTCATATATTTTATGTTTATTAATTTAACCAAGCTGCCAGTTTATTCATCCTCCTTAGAGCGAAGACGGGCATTTGGATTTGTCACTTTAATAGCTAGTTGCTGGGCACGCTCAACAATATCTTTACGCTTCTTACTTGAGACATTGTGTGCAATTTCAGCAAAGAAAGTGCGGTTTTGCATCAACAATACTTCCAGCTCTCTAACATTATGAACCAAAAACTTTTTGAAGCCATCAGGACAGAGGTGCTTGCATTTATTCCACGTACCATAACCAATGTTTGGCATTTTATATTGACCTTTGAACCTCCTCCTTACTCTGTTGTCAATACCCTTGGGTTTACGCCAGTTTGCCTTGACTTTGCCATATCTGTCAGATTGGTGTCTAATAAATTTCTTATTCCTCTTCTTTACAATCTGAGTTTTGATGAGAGGTCTGATCGCCATTTTTGGTGACCTGTTTCAATAATCTAAACAAGAAAAAGGAAGCAAATCAGATTTATAAGTTAGTACACATTATGAATGGATTACCACGTCGCAGTAACAATAAAATCGATGTAACCCCGATGTTTTAATTTCGTGTTTGTTTTTCTGTCACGGTGCTTAGTTTTATTTTGTGTCTCTCAAATATAAACTGCAAAAGTTGGTTATTATAATTGTTTAGGCTTTTATTTTCCAAATATTTTTACGTTTTTTGCGAAAAACTATGTGCTGTTTTTTGTTAAAGTTAATTTCTCAAATTAAATCTTCATAGACTTTATTTTCCAAAAAAATAGGTTGCCTCCCTTTACAAACGACATCTATTTTTCCTTTAAGCCTAAACCAAAAAAATGTTCACTTAATTCTGTTCTGCTTTGAACCGCGTACTTTACATGATTAATATGGTTTCCTTGCTGGCAATAACAAAATAAAAGCAGGAATTTTCCGTGAATGCGTTTTGGTTTATAGATTTAATTGGAGTTTTGTTGATGATTTGGGGATTCTTTTGTTTCCTGTAATGTTATGTGTGTTAGAGATATTTTTTAAATTCCTCAGATTTAATTTTTTCGCATTTGTATTGGTTCTTAATGTTTTTATGCATTGATTACAAACACACATAAAAACTAACAAAACTGCTTTGTAAAAAAAAAAGCAAGTTAAATCGGTTGTTTAATTTTGTTTTAGGTTTTCGCAATGCGGTTGCGGATGTCAACGGCGAAAATTTAAAAACTAGACCTGGTTAAATTAAGCGAAACAAACAGCTATCTGGCACAATGTTGGCAAGCAGAGTTTCTTCTAGGCATCTCTTCGAAAAAATTTTACCGCCCCCCCCCCCCCCCCGAACGAAATGAAATTTATATAATTTATATAGAAAATATATACTTTTAACAGTGTCCGCCCCCCCGAAGAAAGTTTACCGCCCCCCCCCCCCCCCCGAAGATTTCAAGTGCCCCCCCCCCCCCCCCCCGGAGAAAAAAGTCTGGAAGAAACACTGTTGGCAAGGACAGATGCTACGGGTATCAACTGGTTTAATTGGGTTAGCTTCAATGGAAATTAGGCTTTTAAATATGGTGCATTCGGTGCATTTGAAAAGGTTGGGCGTTTGACAAAGTGACAGATGGTGGATAAGTTTGATACTTTGACAGAAGTTGGATAAGTTTGACACATTGACAGATGTTGGATAAGTTTGATACATTGACAGATGTTGGATAAGTTTGATTCATTGACAGATGTTGGATAAGTTTGATACATTGATAGATGTTGGATAAGTTTGATACATTGATAGATGTTGGATAAGTTTGATTCATTGACAGATGTTGGACAAGTTTGACACATTGACAGATGTTGGATAAGTTTGATACTTTGACAGATGATGGATAAGTTTGATACATTGATAGATGTTGGATAAGTTTGATACATTGATAGATGTTGGATAAGTTTGATACTTTGACAGATGATGGATAAGTTTGATACATTGATAGATGCTGGATAAGTTTGATACATTGATAGATGTTGGATAAGTTTGATACATTGAAAGATGTTGGATAAGTTTGATACATTGATAGATGTTGGATAAGTTTGATACATTGATAGATGTTGGATAAGTTTGATACATTGACAGATGTTGGACAAGTTTTATATTATGACAGATGTTGGATGAATGTGATGGAATATAAAGTGCTTGACAGTGTAAAAAAAAAACAAGACTAAAATGGTTAAGAAAATAAAAAACTTAATTTTAACCAAGAAATTTTGAAACAATGACTCCATCAAAAACGAAATATTGCTTCCTCAACCATTGAAAACATTCAGAAACACATAACTTCAACTGTCTGAAAGTGTATATTGTTAATACAATTTTCTTGGTCTAATTACCAGAAAGAACCAGAAAAATGACGGAAGAAAAAAATATATTTAAATAATATATTTATCTTAAGAAATTTTCCAGGAAATTTATATAATTTAAATGACCACTGGTCTGTTTCTTTATTTGAGACACTTAAATGAATGTCAAAATTGTTCGATAATTGACCAAGTGAATAAATAGTTAATTTAGGTATCAATACCATCCAAGTTTCGTTTTCCCTGTATTCGATGTATAACATATTTTGAGTAGCGATACCACAGTTTTCGGTTACCATGTGCTCATGGAAGAACTATTACTAAAGTATTGATACCAACCAGTTTTCGGCCACCAAATGCTCACGGAAGAATATCTAGAGAAACCTTCACCCCAGTCAACCTTCACCCCAGTCAACTTTCACCCCAGTCAACCTTCACCCCAGTCAACCTTTACCCCAGTCAACCTTCACCCCAGTCAACCTTCACCCCAGTCAACCTTCACCCCAGTCAACCTTCACCCCAGTCAACCTTCACCCCAGTCAACCTTCACCCCAGTCAACCTTCACCCCAGTCAACCTTCACCCCAGTCAACCTTCACCCCAGTCAACCTTTACCCCAGTCAACCTTCACCCCAGTCAACCTTCACCCCAGTTAGCTTTTTTATACATCCCATCCAGTCCTCATATTTCTATTCTTGCCCTCCACCAAGCCCGCCCTGTGTACTCACCTTATTCCAGAGGAAACCTGTCAAAACAAATGAAAGAAAAGAAAAAAATCAGAAGCCATTTTGTCGCCGTCAGCGCCATGTATGGCTTAATTAAAACGCTTAATTAATTATATTAAAATTAAATTACCCGCGCTTCTGACCAAGGTTGATTTATTCTCCTCATATATGTCTATTTTTAGATTCCCCTAGCTGTCAATCAAAGGACGTGTTGAGATGTTTTTATCCGAGCTGTGTTAATGTCATTAAGTACAGGCGCTGTTTGTGGACATTATCTGCCCTTGTTTCAAGGCTCGAGGTTCGTCGAGTCAGATGTGACATCAGACAAAATGGCTGACTTTGTTGTTTTGTCAATCTTATTCTTCTAATTTTTGTTGATAGCAGGATTTAGCCACTGGCTTTACAGTTAATCCAGGTCAACCCCCAGGTGATAGTAACAAAATATACAGGTGTGTGTGTGTGTGTTGCGTGCTTGCGTGTGTGTGTGTGTGTGTGTGCGTGTGTATTTGTGCGTGCGTGTGTGCGTGTGTGCGTGCTTGTGTGTATAGTGGGGAAGAGAAGGAAAGAAAAGTTTAAGGAAGAAAAGCAAAAAGACATCTAAACAAATACAGGACTCTAAATAGGCACGGTAAAACTTAAAAAGTCCTGTATTTTGTCAGGTATTCGGTATATCCTAACTCCCGTCTGGTTGGCTTATTTTATTTTTTTGGTGAGTGTGAATATCGTCTACCTTGTGGTGCGCTTTATGCGGGTTGCTTGTTGTTTTTATTTCAAAGCGCTATCGGGAAACTTCTAAGACGTTCAGCTGGTGTTTCCGATTGTAGTTTTTTTTGTAAACCGTCACGTGTGATTATCGTCCATCCGTTTCCGTTTTTTCTTCTTTCCCTTTTTGTTTTTGTACCCGGCAGATACTAAAGTCAGTAAGTCCTAATCCCTGTTAGATAGGGATATGGACGGTTAAAATATTTTGGCGTCGGTAACCTTATTGCGTTGTTTTTTTGTGTTGCTTTAACAGGCGAGGTACTAGATAAGCACAAAGATGGCGTATCGAATTTTCGCTACAGTAAGGGGTCATCCATTTATGACGTCCACATTGGGTGGGGGGGGGGGGGGTCCGGAAAAAAATGACTTTTGTGGACGCGTATGGACTTTTAAAAGGGAATTAAGTGGATTTTTGAGGACGGGGGGGGGGGGGGGGATGACCCCTAAAGTTAGCCCTAACCCTAACACTATCACAAACCCTGATTCTAACCTAAACCCATGGAAAAGCTGATACAATGGTGAATTTTCTACCAGCGTTCTGATATGATTCTGGTGCGTTGGGAAAGTGTGTTTAATTTACACTGGCACAATCACGATGTCCAACAATTATTGTGCTATAATCTTAGAACTGCAACCACAATCACCAGGTCCAAAGTATGATCGTGTTATAAACCGAGTTCTGCTACCACAATCACAATCCCCTTACCATGATTGTGCCATTGACCGAAGATTGTGATATACTCCTGGTTTACAAGTAAGGACCTAGACTGGGCGCCCAAATCAAATAACTGCTAAAACAAATCATAAGAAAAATTAGATTTAAAAAATCGTGAATCGCGCAAACTTCTCGTTGAGCTTTGTATTAAATCCCAGTGAAACACAGGCCGTTGACAAATGTGTTTTAATGTCCTTGTGTCTTTTGTTGTTTTCCGGAAATTATTCCCAGCTGCTCCTAGTTTTTTATGCCCCCTCCACATGTGCGTCATGTGCGTGTAGGGCATCTTTTGCTCCATATGGATTCAGTGATCGGGTTATGGCGCGATTCATCACGTGGTTTTTCTTAAAGTGGTAACCGGTCTATTCTCGCCTCCACCGCCCCTAATCTTTATTCTGCCTTATTTGTTTTCTTTTTGCACTTAGAGAAGTTTGAACTTGACCTTTCCATTGTGAGATGTAAATATCACTGACAAGTCGCTACAAGCATAAGCAAGTTTTCATCATTTTCGGTTTCTAGAAATGCCGATGCCATGTTACTGATTTTGACCTCGAAGAATTGCCTACGGTCACACATAGGAAAACTTAGTTGTTCAGCTTAAAATGACGCTATAAAATACCCCTAACCCACAAATAAACAAACACACACATACACACCATTTTCATTGCACAATTACTATACTAGATCCTAACAAATTTCACGCCTCATAAAACATCGCCCCAAAAGTTAAAATGCTCCGTTTGTCCTTCGTGCGGTGACATTATTTTAGGTCGACCCCCCACTCCACTCCCACCCTCCCCATCACAGTGAGGCTTACCGATCCGATATTGTTAACCTTCTAACCCAATCTTTCTATATTGTTAACCTTCTAACCCAATCTTTCTATATTGTTAAACTTCTAACCCAACCTTTCTGTATTGTTAACCTTCTAACCCAATCTTTCTATATTGTTAACCTTCTAACCCAATATTTCTATATTGTTAACCTTCTAACCCAATCTTTCTATATTGTTAACCTTCTAACCCAATCTTTCTATATTGTTAACCTTCTAACCCAATATTTCTATATTGTTAACCTTCTAACCCAATCTTTCTATATGTTAACCTTCTAACCCAATCTTTCTATATTGTTAACCTTCTAACCCAATCTTTCTATATTGTTAACCTTCTAACCCAATCTTTCTATATTGTTAACCCTCTAACCCAATCCCCCTATTATATTGTTAACCCTCTAACTCAATACTTCTAAATTGTTAATCTTTAACCCACGCGAGTATGATTTGCATCTCGCTAATTTTTTCCCTCGCTATAAATGCACATTCAGCTCTCCTAAAATTACCCGAGTTGTAATATTCTTCAAGTACCGCTGCCCAAAACCCTCAAATCAATTTTTCCCATTAAATATAGTAAACACGTAGCTTATCTATTTCACATTCAAGTGCTTCAACCACCCAATCCATTTTTTTATCAAATCCCGTTCACCTTTTATAAATAAAAAACACATAAGGTTATCTATTTCACATTCAAAGCTTTCAAATTCAGTTAAGCATCCTCTGTTTGTAAAATATACAACACTTTAAGGCAGATTTTTTAAGATCAATCCACAACGCTCTGATCATAAGACCATCTTGTCAAGTAGGCTTTATCGTAAATGTGTGTGTGGTGGGGGGGGGGGGGGGGGGGGGGGTGTGAACTGTACTCACAATAATTAAAATCAACAGACAGTTTGTTTTGTTTTTCAATGAACATCAGAGATGAAGGGAGAGAATATAAAGAAATACATAATTTACATTGAAAAAAAAAAACTGCTGAAAATAAATGGAAGAGATTGGATTATTAAAAAGTTGTCCTGCGATCGAGGCAGGTGCGGATCAAAACAAAGGAAACGTAAGTGGGTCACGTGGTACATGTCTGGGATAAAATTGGCTGCTCATTCCTGGAGAAAAGTGAATGGAAGTTGATGATGCTATCTCATACCTTGCCAGGTAAGACAAGAAGAGTGTGTTTGGGTGATGATTTTTTTTTTGGTTACATTTTTAGAAAATAGGTGCAGTTTTATGGGAATTAAAAAATAATGTCGATCAGCGTTTCTTAAGTAGTGTCCTGGTACCCGATCTTTAAGAACCTGTTGGATTCGTTAGTTTGTTGTTGGTTGTTGTATTTGGTTGTTGATTGGTTTTGTTTTTATGATACGCTGTAGTACAAGATAATACACGTAACAAATCAGAACAAAAATTTATGTCAAAGGAAAGACAATAGGGGTATTAGTTTATCTAAATAGTTCGAGAAGAGAAAGGCTATTTTTTTTTTTAAAATTTTAAATGTTGGCCGTTGAATTTAGGCCAATGTTGGCCGTTGAATTTAGGCCAATGTTAGCTGTTAAATTTAGGCCAATATTTGCCTTTGAATTTAGGCCTACCTTAATTTTCACCCGTAGCACTTCTAACCATTAGCCTTCGATTAAAGCATACCTTTGTTTATCAACATTGTAATATTTATGTTCGATTAACCACAGTCCAACCCCCACCCCCACATCTGTTAGTGCTGTGGTACCCTCAAAGATGCTATTTTAACTAACCCTTAGCTCTGTGGATACGTTTAGGATTGATCTTAACTAAGAGTTAAGTTGAACGTTGAATTTACGCTACCGGAGATCATAATCATCTTTTCCCGTTCGATCCTAAGGACACATATGATAGATGAAGTAGAGTTCATCTGTTTCAGAGACCTCGGCATCTGAAAGGATGGTGTGGTCAACACCATGCCCATCGGAGATGTTAACTAAATAAGTCTGAGAGCCCGGCTAGAAACAGTGGTGTTGGTCTAATTTTGTTATAGGGGAGGGGAGGGGGGTTAAATGAGTCGACGATAATTAACTCGACTTGAGACAGTTGTCATTTTAGAGGTCCTGGGGGTATTATATTCCTTCCCCCCCCCCCTTTCCCCCAGGCACACCTGCCTACGCCACGGCCTAGTCAGTTGAAACAAATGGAGTATAAAAATAGAATGCACTGTGTTGAACTGGATACAAAAATCCAGTTAACAATGAGATTAAAAACGAAAGTTAACAACGAAGAAAACAAATAAGTTAACAATCAATCAAGTTGACAATTAAGTCAACAATCAATAAAACAACAAATACACAATTCAACAATTTTGCACAAAAACAGACTTTACAGACTTTACAATAACCAAGGTCATTTCTCAAACTAGGCTAAGACAGCTTTTCTTCGTACGTTTGTGTCAGTTTGTTGAAACATCATTAACTAGCATTGTTCTAATGCTTACAATACCGTGATACCTACGTTCAATACTCTCTTTTAACTCCCAAAATAGTTCAATTACTCTCTGTCTCCTCAGACTTGTCACGACATCTTTGGTGTTAAGAAAACATTTTTTATGACGTAGAGTATACTCTAAAACCCCATTTTCTGAAAGAAAAGAAAAAAAAACTAAAACCCCATTTTCTTGGTAATTAAATTCTCTAGTCAATATATTAGGCAAATCTATTTTTGGACAATTTCACAAGTTTTTTTAAGTACCGCAAACATCAATAAAGAACGAACTCTAACGAGGTTTAAGATTAGAAATAAAAACTATAGAGGGGGTGTGAGGAGGAGGGGTGGGAGGGATATGAAATAATATTTGAAAAAGTGTCTAGTCCTATGCGGTTAAAAGAACTATAGCTAGAGCTTAAAAGTCTAGATTTAATCGCCAATTAGGATGAGAATTCATACGAGGACCTCAGTAAAAAAAAACATTTACAGCTCAATAAACAATATCAGTAGACTACAGGTTTCATAATCCTTCTGACCAAAATGTTTCATCTGTATGAATGGACGGAACAGTTGGAGTTGAACAGACGCAACTTGGTGGTCAAGGAAATCTCACGGGAAGTACAGATGTTAGGAAGCACATTGCTAACCTGAAAGTCTGGAATTTGGATCCAGACTCGATTCCGTAGACCGTCCAGAGTCCACGCAGCACTGATGAGCACTTGTGTAAATTCTACCAAAAGTAGTAAAGCTGCTGGTCATACAACTGTTTACACTTTGTATACATAAGTCATAGAAATAGGTAAACTCTACATCATCTGCTCCACTGACCGTCATATCTGAGGTGGTAACTTTATTTTTTAAATCTTATCTGACACGACAGATTATAAACATTGAGTAGGACTTCAACGGTAAACAAAGCCAAACAAGATCTACCTAAATTCAACAATTGGCCTAGGTTCGGCTGTTATGGCCTGTTCAAGGGGAGTTAACCATTAAATTTTTAGATCATTTTGTTTTGTTTTGTTACTTCCCTTTTTCACTGTACATGCTCCGAAACCATAATATTATGTTTAGGGCCTAACACAGCCGCTTTTTGTTTTCTCTAGGCCTATTCGTGTGGGTAACTAAACCAACGTCACAAGGCGGAAGCAGACTACAACGGATAATATCCAAGGGGGTGATACCAATACCAAAAAATAGCTAATATTATTGAAATTAATATTCTTTTCTCAGTTTAATACCGTATTTAGGTAATCTAAATCTTTATGGACTCGACGATACCATCAGGTATTGTGTGACACTTAATTCCATACCGTTTTTGCACATTATATACCTATATAGATTAGTTGTTCGCGGACGGGGTGACGCCCATGATTACCGCACCGGTTGCACCCGATTAAGTGACGCCATTGAGTAGCTAAATGTGATGCTGAGCGTCTCTAACCGACACAAACTTACATTAAATTTGCTTTCTAATATTTATTTATAATTTATTTCATTCCGTTTTTTGCGTTACATTTTTATAATCATTTCTTACCGTGTTAGACAATATTTACTTATGTTTTTGCTTCTTTGTTTTATAAATAAAATTAGCAAAGACAATGAAACTCTCGGTCGTTTAAAAAAATGTTTACAAATATATTACCCTGTGTCAGAGTATAAATCTAGCATCGCATTGCTTTATACTAATAAAAATTACTTCAGCTTCGCACATTTTTCAGTGATGTAGCTAGATTCTAGATCTAGTTACGCATTTTCGAATTTAGATGGAGTATGACGTCATGTATTACTAGATCTACTTTACTTCTTAGCCTAGGCTTGATCGTCCGCTCAAACGTTTAGAAGTAAAATTTTGTGACGGAGAATCAGGATTTTCGATAATTCTCCATAACGCAACAATACAATGTAAATAAATAGTCTGGGTGAATGAGATGATTACTTAGTAATACTTAGGTTGCATGCATAGTTTATTAAATTTTTTATAGGTATACAATATACATACTGATAATCATACTAACTTAGTAACTATTACTAAGCCTTGACGTGAAATCCTTCCCTCTTCTATCCTGTTTTTTCTTATTCTAAAAGTAGGCCTAAGGACACTTTTATTGTAAGTTTTTTTTTAATAAGCATTGCTAAATATTGCTAATACATTAGCTGTTTTATATGTATTTATTTAAGAATGGTGCCTTCTGACACAGTTGAGTTGTGGTATTTAGAGTAATTGTATCGTTCCTTGCCGGTTTGTTTTAAAACTTGAATTTTAAAACGAGCCTGCTTATCATTTCTATCGTATCGTATCTTTACTTTTCCGTGTAAGGTATTAGACTAGACTACGTCTAGATCTAGATCTAGATTCTATATCTATTTTAGGTTATATAAAATTGTATTTAGACCAACTTGTTTCAATTAACATAATGTTCAATTAATTTATTATCCTAAAACTAACAAAAATAAAATGTAAAACTCGGAAGAGTGAGTCACTCTGCATTGAAATTGATAACTCCTACTCTCATCTTCTCGTCTACTTTTCTTGTTGTACTAGTCCAATGCAAGCGATTTCTTACTCAAATCTAGCTAGACTAGAAGCCTAGATATCTTATTTAGATCAAGAGTCTATACAAAATTAATAAACAGTGGTTTATGATACACCTGTAATACACCAGGTGGCATTTTTTAGGCCCCTATCTTAAAAAGTTAAAATCTAAACTATTTCTCTCATTTATTTTTATTGACTCATGCCACTTCTGTAGCACTACTGACTAGGGCCCTTGGCACTGGAAGTTTAATATATTATAAGTTAAATTAGTATTAGGCCTAAGATCTAGTCTATATTAAATATTTAGGGTGTGGGGAAATTGCGAGACGCGAAAAGCGAAATGGCGAGAAGGGCGCGAAAACGGTCGGTCACGTGACTTTTTTGTCTCGCATTTTACCACAAGCCGATACTTACGCTGGGTGGTGTTGAAATGCGAAGATTTCTGCGAAAAATTTACCGCACCCGATTTTCAGTGGTATTTGGTCCAGACTTCAAAGACGTTTCGTTTACATTTTTAAAACTTCCGATTTTTCCGTCGCTAGACATACTGATGATTTGTCAACTCCCCCCATCTTTTGTGTCGACTTAGAATACCACCTTGTTCGAAACCGACGGAAATACCGCCGACGATAGATCAACTTCTGTCTTTTGTGTGGAACGCCGAGGCCGCCTGATTTACCGTCTTTGAAGATCACAGTGCCCGGATCCGCTGCCGCCGCAAACACATTTTCTATTGTTGCATAGAAATTTTGTATTATAGCCGCCGCCTACGATTTTTTTCTAGCTTTTTTACCATATAAATCTAAGCACAAGGAAATGCCTACATCATTTGGATACAACAAAATAAAGTGACGTCACCGATATTATCAGTTGCTCGTGCTATATCGTAAGCTATGGGCCTACTTCAAATATTTTTAAAACCAAGTTGAACTTATCTGAATTTTTTGGTTTTGGTGGTGGTGTTATTTGGGGTCTTCCATAAATGACGTCACACTCGTAGGGGGGGGTCTGTAATTTATGACGATGTGTGATGAGGGGGAGGAGGGGGGGGGGGGGGTTAGATGTGAAGTCACACTATAAAAAAGCAATGTTAGAAAAAGAATTTTAGACGTTTTTTCGCGTTTTAGAAAACTGTTTTAATACATTGTAATAGGAATTGATTAAAATACTCTATTTTGACCGAAATTAGACAAGATTTTGGGAAAATATCGATGTTTTAAAAAAACTCAATTGCTGGTGACAACAATGAGCAAGACATTGCCAAAATTACAGAAATGATAAAAAATACAAATTATAAAAAACGGAAAACAGATGTTGAGCGTGCAGATGATGATGTTGAGAACATGGGTGCCAGTGTTGTTTGTGGGATGAACGAGGAGGTCAACTGTGATGAGAATGTGAAATGTTGTGAATGTGGATTGGAAGAAGTAGCAAAAGAAAAATGTATAAATGGGAGTCTAATGAACTGGGTTGGGTGTACTATGTGTGAAAGATGGTGTCACGAGGTGTGTTTGAGGACTGTTTCAGAAGATTTTGTTTGTAAATTTTGTTTGTAATTAAAATTACTTAATAAAAAAATAAATTGCACTTTTTAAGAATTGTTTATACTTTTACACTTTTTGCAATTACAAAAATCCATAAATAGATGTTGCAAAATATCTCTCCTGCTGACAAGATTATACCAATTCACAATGACACAGCTCACGTTTGTATAAACATGAGCGGGCTAGATTTTTAAATTAATGCCGACTGAGACGGGATTTTCCTCTCGCTAACAAGAGCGGGCGATGACAGTAGCACAGCAACGATGTTAGGATTTTTAAATAGAATATAGATAGATCTAGATATTTAGATATACAACACTCGTGTTAAAGGGTATGGCTAAATGCTTGTTTATTTTAAAACAAAAAAAAATGTAAATAAATAAAGATGGAAAAAAAAGGAAAAAACTTTTTTCGCAAAAAGTGTCTCGCTATTTACCCTTAATTCCGCAGGTATGTCTCGCATTACCATCTCGCATTTTCCCGCCTCGCCATTTCGCTTTTCGCGTCTCGCAATTTCCCCACACCCAAATATTTACAATATCATTATTTATTTAGCTAAATAGTAAATAAACCTTCCCCCCCCCCCCCCCCAACATTACAATTAAAATTAAGAACAAAGTTGAAGAATAGATAAGTTAGGCATAAGAGTCAACCTATGCCCTATCATAATCATCAGTTAGTGTATTGAGTGTAATCACCATTGTAAAAAAAAAATAACTACTTTGCATGTGACCAGTTTTCATAATAATATTGAATTTCTTGTTCATTTTGATTTTTTTTTTAAATAACCAAATGCATATTAGGCCAACTAGAATTTAATTGTTACCAAGCATTCAATTGACGAACAGCAAGTAACAATTCATTTTAAGTTAGATACTAAATCTTGTAGTGTTATAACAAGTTAACAAGCATTTTTTTTTCACAGACTGAAGTGAATGCCTACCACAAAGTAAAGTTCAAGTTGTACTTAAATATATTGAGTACATTTCATAATATCTGGAGAGTCAGTTAGTGTAAGTTGAATTATTTTACATTTTAACTGCTTTCCTAGTAGTTAACTAATTTCATTTTTGTAAGAAAACTGGAATATCAATGGGCATGATATTAATTTTTACAGATGTGGTCTCGTCAACAAACTCTAGCTGAGTTCCGTTTGTTTACCTGTCTAACTGAAGATGAAAATGCAGATGTCACATTAGTGCGTGCTTATGTAACAAGAAGTATTTTAAGGTAAAACCGCAAGTGTGTATAGGAAAATATAATTAACAGTTTCTGCTAGTCTTTGTATTATTTAAGGCTTAGGCTGTTCTTTATCTGTTGGGATTGAATAACCCTAACATGCCTATTTCCAGTTGGCTTCCAATAGACACTTCAATTTTTTTAACTTTTCCTGTTGGTTTTCCTTCACTTATTTATTGGTTGCCCTTCTAAGGCCTGGAGAGACTTAACTAATTGTTTACGCACTTGTCATTATTTAAAGTTAAAGTCATAGTTTAAAATGGTTAAAAATTTAGAAAATTCTTTAGGCATTGACATTGAAACTGTTAGTTGGAGAGTACATCAGAATGTGAGAAATTAATTTGATAATAACTAAGTTAGTAAATGTAATGCAGCAAAAGCTTTTTAAAAAAAACATCTGCACTTAACAATAATTGTATTCACATTTATTATTTAGATACTGGGTTTTTTCTTAACTTTAGTGAACAAAACTACCAAGAGGAGTTTTATCCAGAAGGTGAATTAGACACCCCTGAGGATGTAGTTTCAACAATTTCAAGCCTTGAAGAAGAGGTTACAGACTCTGAAATATCCATCTCGACCCAACAGTCAAGTGTCAACCAAGAGTCTCTAGAGAACAATTTAAAAACTGACCAGAGCAAGTTATCCAAACGGCTCTCCACGTTAGGATTGAAGCATTTTGATTTGAGCTCGTCTGATTCTGAGGACTCTGAGTGCAACAGCAGTGGGGCTGTAGGCGGGGAGGGTAATGATTCTCAGTGCAAAGAGGAAAGGTTGAAAAGATATTTGGAAGGTGCAGCTGCCCTAGCAGAGATCACAGAGGATACTGAGAATTTGAGTATTGGGAATAGCAAGGAGGAAGAGGAGAGCTCCAGTTGGGATGGTGAGAGCAGTGGACAGTTAATGCAGTCTATGGGATTACCGTTAAATTTTGGTTCACAAAATAGAAATCGTTCAAAGAAGGTTGGTATGAGCTTTTGGTAGAATTTAGCTTTATTAGTAAATGTTCATTATAGACCATTATTGGCCGTTACAAATGATAAATTGGAGCTGTTATGTTTAGTTATGATAGTTTTCATTTTACTGCTCAAGATCTTTAGTAATAATATGTTCAACTATTTATTTTTATTGGGTGACAGTATATTAGTATCAAAAGGTAGAATTTATAATTCAATGATTTGCTTGTATCTCGTATAAAATAATTAACAACGATTTTTCCCCCAGATAATGTTGACAGAGAAAGAAATTCGTAATAGATTCCTCTCTCTGTGGGAAGAAAGTGGTGAGCTGTTGGTTTACAAGTCTTTTGTCTCAATGTACCCGGACTATGCCATGTATTACGATCAAATCACAGGATCCATTCCCCCGGGGGTGGAGGTTGAGGTGACAGACAGTGGGGAGAGTAATGTCAGAGGTGCTGGTGATGGTAGTGATGCTGCGGCTGGTGTACCAGATACAACACAGAGTCGCAGTTCGAATGATGGGACTCAGGGGAAGGAAAATGGGTTGAACAGTGTCGCGGATAGTTTCCGGGCTGATTTAGGTGAAAGGGTGATAGTGGGGGAAGAGAGTGAATCTAAACAGACTGTGGGTCCGGCGCTAAATGGTGTCACAGAAGCTGGTGATGCTTCGTCACACAAGACAGATCAGCTGACATTGCAGTCAGTTTCTCAGCATAACAACCATAATGGGAATGATCATGGGTATGTTCATACATCCGGTGAAGACTCCGAGGGCTCCGGTCAAAGTGATGATGACACCAGTCAACATTACAACGTACAAGATGGAAGCTTCGCCACGGACGACAACGATGTAGCAGACGGAGCTGGGTATTACAGCCATGATGATCTGATTCAAATGCTGAAGGGTACTCATGAAGATCTGAAGAACCAGATCTACTGGCATGTGAAAGAGAAGGTTGGTGACTGGCTCAGGGAAAACCCAGACAAGCCCTTTGAGATGTCCTCCCTTGACGAGGATTTGTTTTCAATGGCTAACCCTTACATGGAGACCCCTGAGATAATTGTAGATGGGGGTGAGGAGGCAGAGCAAGAGGAATTAAACAGCTTCAGTAATGACGAGGATCTGCAGGACAAAGGTATTTCCCTGCTTTATTAAATACATAACTTTTTATTATAGGTATGGATTTTTTAAACACATTTTCAAATCTTATTAACATGTGCACTTTTTTACAAACCTGTGTATCAGGTATGGACAACAAGAAAAGTATTCCTGAGACGCTGGAGTTGCTGGGTTTAGCTGTGATGAAGGATGTTGAGCAGCGGTAGGTGTTGGCTGTTATTTTATTGTCTTTTATCTTAATTTTACAAACAGATTTATTGAGATTGGTTTCTAGGAAAATTGCTTGTGTAGGTAAACCTTGTTAATTGTTACTGTAAATCCTGACAATTGTCTATCGTCAAAATCTTTAAGACAAATGATTTTATGAGATGTATTTTAGAAAAATGGTTTGCAAAAATAAACTTTTGAAATTATTCTCAGGGAACACAGAAAGAGAAAAATAGTGCATGGCACTGTCATCTATAAAAGAAGAAACATTGTGAAAGAAGCGAAACGTCTCCATTTGGATTTTGGAAGAACTCCCAACCTAAGAGAAGAAGATGATGAAACTCCTATCCCTAAAGCAAAACACATAGTATTTGATGATGACGGTAACCCACAGGAACTAGAGTCAGAACGATCTGGTCTGAAGATTGCTGTTTCAGAGGTGAATATTCAGTTGTAATTTGTATGAACTTTAAAATATTTATTTAGGGGTCATCCATAGATGACGTCACGCTTTTTTTTTTTGACTATTTTTTCCTCCCCTATGTCACACATTGTCACAAAAAGCCAGCCCCCCCCCCCCCCCCCCCCCTTCAACCTACAACACCCCCCCCCCCCCCCCCCCCCCCCCTCAAAATTGCAGTTGAATTTTTCTGAAAACATCAATATTTTTCCAAAATCTCGTCTGAACTCTCTCAACATAGAGTATTTTAATCTAATCCTATTAAAATTTATTAAAACAGTTTTCTAAAACGCAAAATAACGGCTAAAACTCGTTTTCTAACATTGCTTTTATATAATCAAACCCCCATCTGAACCCCCTCCTCCTCGTCACACACCGTCAAAAAATTACGGATCCCCCTCCCCCCTATGAGTGTGTCGTCATTTATGGATGACCCCTTAAAGGATGAAAATCTGATTTTATTGAAGGTTTAGAGTCTTTATAGCATATTTGCTATCATTATTTCAAACTTGTTTAGATTTAATGTTACATTATCTATTAGTTGGGTACGCTGGACTCTGGTAAGGTCCAGCGGTTAGTCTTGTTCAATAGATTTCTCGAGGATTTACATTCTCAAAGCTGTTACTATGTTTTAGCTGTCGATAATGACATGGATAGTAAATGTTAAGTAAAATGTTTAGCTTTTTATTTGTTGAAATAAATTGATTTGGGAACGGGTTTTTTTTTTTTATCTCAATACCAACCCTAGCATATAGCAAATCGTGAAGCTTGTGTTTTATATTTGATTTTTTTTTTCTTCAACTTGAAGGCTACCTGCAGTTTCTTTGATGAGTATGAAGATGGAGAGCAAAGCCAGGAAGAGGCTTCCTTGTGTCTGGTACAAGACACCATTGAACCTGATTCATCAAGCAACACACCAGAGAGGAGGAAGAGAAATAAGAAAAAGAGCAGAAAGAGGCCTTCTGTTCCCATTCCTGAGGAGATCGCCAATGATCCGGTGTTGAGGAAGTATTGGTACCAGAGATACAGGCTGTTCAGAAAATTTGATGATGGGATAAAACTTGATAGAGGTACTTTTCATTTATTTTAGTTATCTTTTGTATCTGGTTTTAATAGCAGTTTGTTTGTTTTTTTCCTTTTTTTGTAATTAATAAATCTCACCCCAAAAAAAAAATTTAAAAAAAAAGTTTGAAAAGGGCTTTTATTATATTCACAAATCACAAACAAAAAAAAAGCACAAATGATAAAATGCACTAAAAAGTAAAAAATTAATTTAGTTTGGTGTAAACTTAAAAGCTATTTGCGCTCAATGATGAAAATTGAACATAGATCATATATTATGTAATAGAATGTAATCCTATCAATGAACTCCCTGTGAAAAAGAACATTTTTCCATAAGTGAGCGTCCAGGCTTTTGATATTATGCCATATGTTTTCCTTTTGTCTTTCCAGAGAGCTGGTTTTCTGTAACACCTGAGGTTATAGCCGCCCACATCGCAGAGAGGTGCAGGTGTGATGTCATTGTTGATGGTTTCTGTGGGGCTGGTGGAAATGCCATCCAATTTGCCTTCACCTGCAACAAAGGTAGCTTGTCTTTTTGAAAATAGTCAGTTTAATATTTCCCTAATTTTAACTCTAGCCTTGAACTTATAGTTAATTTTTGTCTAGATTCTAGTAGTGATTTCAGACATCAAACGGCCTATATTAGGTTAAATACTTCTTTGTCATGCCAGTGTATTATAAAAATCTTATTTTATTATTTAACTATAATAAAAAAAACGAGATACATTTATTTCCACACAAAAAGCCCATGTAATTAGATAGTTACGTTTTTTCCTTGCAGTGATTGCTATAGACATAGATGAGTCCAAGATAGAGATGGCAAGAAATAATGCTGAGGTGTATGGTGTTGCTGACAGGATAGAGTTCATTCATGGGGACTTTTTACAGGTAAGTTCCTAGCAAGAAAATATTTTGTCTCTTCTGTTTGCTTTAGGCCAGTTAGAGATTCACTCAGGTTTAAAATATTCACATACTATTTAGTCATTTTACACAGTTAGATTTTATTGTCAATAAATCTAGAACAAATTTAAACTTCTTATTGCTATAAATTATGCTGTTTTTTTTCTCACATCTTGTTGTAGTTGGCTCCGACTCTGAAAGCTGATGTGGTATTTCTCAGCCCTCCGTGGGGAGGCCCTGAATATCTCAATAAAGACATCTATGACTTGGATGACATGGCTGGTTTCAATGCATATCCTTTGACAAACTGATACATGTATTAGCTAATAACCTTATTAATTTCAATGTTGTTTTAAGTTTGTTAAATGTCTAGAAGAAATAGTTCTTTACAGTAATGTTCAGTCTGATTCTGTTGTGATTTAGCCTTAACGGATGTACTTCAGATTTGATAAGTCTGAGCAGACAAGTTACTGACAGTATTGCTTTTTTCCTACCAAGGAACACAGACTCTGAAAAAGTAAGTGTCTTCTGAAACTTATCTTAAATAACTTGATTGCACTAACAAATAAGTGTGTGCCTAGACTAAATGCAGCCAATATTTGTAAAGTTCCCTTTCAAACCTAAGTCTACAGGGCAAGTGAAGTAGAGTTCACTTGTTTCTGTGACCTCACATATGAAGGGATAGCGTGGTCAGCACTATGCCCAGCCGCCTTTACTTACCCTAAAGAGAGTTAGGTACCCATCAGAGTTGGGTGGATTCAGGAACAGTCTACTGACTTGAACCCGGATTTGAACTCAAGACTTTTGGGTTAGCAGTCCAGCCCTCTACAGCTAGGCCACTCCATCCCATCATAATTGCCCATTAAAATATAAGAAGTGAAACTAAAGTTTTAAAAGTTTCTTTTTCAGAAAAATGTGTATTGGAACTGCTTAAAGAAAAATTTACACTGCTAGAGCTTTTTGTTTGTTTTTTAACAAAACAAATCAGCTTAAATTAAATTATATAACTGATAAAAAATATTATAGATTATGTCCTTAATAAGTTAATTATGAAATGAGTTTTAATGAAGAATGATAAATGTCTCCAGCCTAAAATGGTTTGAAACACTTGACAATTTCAGCTAACAGCACTGGCCGGTGTGGGGAAACAGGTGGAAATAGAACAGAACTTCCTCAACAAGAAATTAAAAACAATCACGGCTTACTTTGGGGACCTCATTTTATCTCAAGAAAACGATTAACCCAATGCAATGTTGACACATTGATGCCGGTTCCCAGATCTGCTTACTGAAATCCCATTGAACATGAGCTAGGGTATCAAGTCACTATTTTTAAGCTGTTCCACAGTGTTTAATCTGCTAAAAGCATAATTGTAAAATCTTTGCTTTTTTCATGAGCCCATTCCATCTATAAAATAATGTGTTGAATTCTAATCCATCATTAGATTATTTGGCTTAGACAGCCATTGGATGGTTTATTTTATGTAATGTTAGTGTAAATTTTTAAAAGTGATTTTGGTAAAAAACAATTCCTAGCTGTTGCTTAAGCCTACTCATTACATCCTAATGGCTAAATATTTTACTAAATCATATGCTATATATTATCATCAACTTAGCTGTATTTCAATAAAATCATGGTGGCAGTTATTCCTTCAATTGCTGTGAGCAACCAACTTATTTTCTGAACAACATAGGCCTACTATTTCAGGTTATTGTTTACCTTTGGCTTCCATAACAGTTCATTGTGCTATCATGTAGTCAAGTGGTTTTTAATTTTTTTTTTAAATGGTTGCTTGCCACATGTATTGGTAGGCCAGTTTGGACTGACAGTTCAAAATATTTTTGGTTGGCCAGTTTGGGTTGACTGTTCAAAATATTTTTGCTTGCCACCTGTATTGGTTGGCCAGTTAGGACTGACTGTTCCAAACTAAGGTACTGTTTACCTTTTGTGCTGACTAGCTAAAGCAGCAATTATGAATCAAGTCAGACACAGAATCTCAGGGAGTGTTGATGGTTGTGGTATGTGTTGAATCAAGGAACTCAAGAAACAGGTGTTACTGTTGTTGCATATAGGGCATTTTGTCAAAAAGATTTGCTGTCTTGATTTCCCTAAACGATCTCTGAAATGTATTTTTTTATGTTATTACCTGAAAATGTTTGGACCAAATGACCTGCTGCTTTACATGTTTTTAAACTCACTCCATGTGCATGTTAATTGTTTCCATTTTAAATGTACTATTGTTGTTCTCCTTGCTCACATTTAATTGAATTTGTATCATTAAAATTCCATTTTATACGGTTGATTAAAACTATTTTATTTGAGTTATTTGTTTCAGGGCAATGCATTTCGGTCCATAGTCCTCAGTTTTATTCTTGCTTTCTTAAGTAACTTGTTTTAATGGTGAAGTTACTGGGCTTTTTACTGGCTATAATCACAGTCATAGCCACAAATACATCTGATATGTCACACCTAAGACAGTGTATTTTACTTTGTGTAACAGAAGATATTTTGTTACCTACTACTTGCAATTGAATAACTAAATTTTTAATTAAATGAAGTTAAAATTTGAGTTTCAAATTCTGAAAAATTAAATTTTTTGGTGTATAAAAATGCATGTTACATGATTTTTGAAACATTTTTATATTATGTTTTAAAGTTATATTTTTTAATGAGCTTACAGCCATGATTTGGTCTTTGAAAGACTTTATTTACATTGAATAAATAATTTGCATGAAGTTTTAAAAGAGTAATATTTTTTTTAATCATGAATGTTACAGTGTTCAACATTTCTTGTGTTAAAAAGCTGCTTTATAAAAGATGTGATTTGCTGATTGTTGGCATTTCTATATTCCCAATCTTGTGTTGGACACACCTCTGAGTAAGGAGATCTCACTTTATCAGGTTAGATATTGAATTATTGCTGATCAAGCTATGTCTTCTGCTGTTGCTAGTGCATCTACATCAATGTTAAAATGCCCTCTTGCAGATAAATACAGTATTATAAACAATTATATCAGACTGTTTTGTTTATAAAACCTGTGTGTTTTTAAGACTGTATTGTGAGTCCACAGGTTAGTGTGTGTATAAAATTGTGCGTAGGCTGTATGTGAAGATATAAATGTGCTGTTACTGTAATGTACAAATATAAATAGTTGTAGTAATGATAAGAAAATTATCTTATAAAAAGTATAGTTAACCTTTTGGGCCTTGCATTTAGTATGGTAGATGGAGCTCATCAACTTGGCATTAATTAATGGTGTAGTCAGTAATTTACCCAGCCACTTTTAATTCACTTATGTCAAGTACCCATCTGAGATGGTTGGATCTATGAACTCCAAACTTGAGAATTTCATCATTCACTTCACTGTCCCACTTCAGCTACTTTAACCTCTTTAGTATAAAAAAAGTTGATAATTGATAGGAGGGTAGTTTGTGAAAAGTATCAGTGGATGGAGAAAATACATGCAGCATCATCACAAAATAAATTGAGGTTGAACTCTAGCACACGTATTATCAACAGTACTCAATAACAATAGTTTGTACTTTGATTTAGAGAGGGACTGAAATTTAGCAGTAGAGGTAATGAATGATCTGCATCTTCCTGAACAGTGTTTCTTCCAGACTTTTTTCTCCGGGGTGGGGGGGGGGGGGGGGGGGGGGCACTTGAAATTTTCACTTCGTTCGGGGGGGGGGGGGGCTTCGTCTGGAAGAAACGCTGTTCCTGAAATTGTTTTAAAACGTGCCACAGTCATACTCTATTGACGGGTACTTGATTGGTAGAGCATACGACTGCCAAACTGAAAGTTTCTGGTTCAGAGTTCAAGTACATTGAACGTCCACCCAGCTCTAATGGGTACCTAATTTACATCAGGGACAGTAACGGCGGGTCAAGAAACGTGAACTCTACTTCATCTGCCCAATGGATTGTTAGTTCTAAAGATGAATCTTTATTTTACAGTCATCCTATACATAATGGTCCATATTATGGCTCCACTTTGCCTCTGGAGACAATGGATGTTCACAGAGAAATGTTTGGATTAGGAGTGTTCTCTCCCAGTGTTTCTTCCAGACTTTTTTCTCCGGGGGGGGGGGGGGGGGGGGCACTTGAAATTTTCGGGGGGGGCAGTAGATTTTCTTCGGGGGGGGGGGGGGGGCGGACACTGTTAAAAGTATATATTTTCTATATAAATTATATAAATTTCATTTCGTTCGGGGGGGAGCGGTAAAAAATTTTCGGGGGGTCTAAGCCCCCCCCCCCCCCCGAAGAGATGTCTGGAAGAAATTCTGTTCTCTTCTAGAAGGGTTTCTGTCCCCAGCTAACAAAAGTTAAAGAGCTCCGTCCGCTCCCCCTTCCGACAGCATCGTGTGCCTCATAAAAAACATTCAGTTTACTCTGCTTTATTGAATATTTGAAAAAAAAAGGCTGTAAGAATATTAAATCCTAGCGAGTTTACCAAAAGTAGAATTTTTTTTTTTTTTGCTATTTTCTGTCAACCCCCCCCCCCCCCCCCCCCCCCCCACCCTCCACCCTTAAAATTTTGTACTCCGTACTATACCAATCACTATGGAGAAAATTCGAAATAACCCTAAGTAAACCTTACTATTTTATAGTATATGCTTATATTATATATTATAAACTTAGTTTTGCTTTAATATTTTAAAAAATAAATAATACTTTAAATACAATATGATTCAATGATTTGTTGGGGGAGGGGCAAGCTAGGCCCTAAATTTTAATATTGAATGGCCAGATTTTAGCAAGCCTAAAGTTTTTGAAAACTGATTTCTTACAAGCAAGAGTGGGCTATACCTAACCATATGATTCTACTGTGGGCCTATTAAAAAACAAAAATGTCCACTACTGCGGGTGATGAGGAAACGAAGACAGAAGAAGCGAGAATGACGAGCGAAGAAGCCTGCAAAAGTGTAGTTCAAGAAGGCTCTGAAGATGAATGCCAGCACTATAAGAGATTTTGCAAACTAAAGGTATGCCGACTGCTAGCCTTAATTAATAAATTATTAATTATTATTTACTTTACTTAGCAGGTATCAATTTTTTCATTAATAAATAAATAATATTTAATAAACAATTAATAAAAATCAAGTCTCTGTCTGTATTAGTGATAGATTCTAGATTCTAAATAGATAGTTGCCATTTTAAATATAGGCCATGGGCTAATTATTTTAAGACACAATGAAATAGATAATCAATTGAAAACTAAATTTAACATCAGATTACTATTCACTGTTGTCTGTTGAGCTAGTTTTTAAAAAAACCAAATTAAATGTTACACCTGACGATTTTTGTATTTAATAACACAGAATTTTTAAGCAGATAGGTGAGACTCGTTCAATACTTTTTGATTGGTCACAAGTGGTTTGGTTACAGGAAGAGTTTCTTCCAGGTATCTCTTTCCGCCCCCCCCCCCCCCCCAAAGAAAGTCTAACATCCCTCCCCCGAACAAAATGGATTTTATATGGAAAATATACCTATACTTTTAACAATGTCCGCCCCCCAAAAAATTTCAAGTGCCCCCCCCCCCTCCCCTGGAGTAAAAGTCTGAAAGAAACACTGGTTACAGGTGTAGTTGCTTGTTTGTATTTGTAAAATTTAATACATATTTTTTTCACTATTTGTAGGCTCCATGCTGTTCAGTATTCTATTCATGTCGATTTTGCCATGATGAGTCAAACAATCATGAAATGAACCGTCACAAAGTACAAGAGATTCAATGTAAAAAGTGCAGTACAATACAAGCAGTGAGTGTGACAATTAGCCTTGGTTCACATCTGTTGACACTCATATATTTTAAATTCAAAATTTTAATAAGCTTTAAATGTTACTATGTTTCTTTAATTTAATATGTTAAAAGTAATTTTAATGGGTTTTTTTTTCATCCTTTTAAATTGCAGCGTTAGTTGCAATTTTTAATCAGCCGTTTACAATCATTACAACTGTCACTTCATAAAAAAAAAATGAAAGGCTTTTTTTAAAATTCAAGCAGAGTAGAGAACAACCTCTAAAATTTAATTTAAGATAATATGAGTTACTTTAGGTGATGATTAAACATTTTTTTCTAGGTGAGAAAGAATTGTGAAGGCTGTGGCATTGAATTCGGAGAATATTTTTGCCAGAATATGCCGACTATATGATAAAGATAATGAACAGTTCCACTGTGACAAGTGTGGCATATGCAGGTAAACTCTCCTGACAGTTATTATGTGGGGCCTAAAAATGGAATTAGCTATAAATAAAGCTTTACCACTTTTGTAAATTTTATATCATCAATAAAAGAATGTGGGTGTTTTTGTTTTTTTTTTCTTTGGATAGGGTTGGACCGCGGAGTAAATTTTATCATTGTGATAGATGCAATGCTTGCCTCAGCAAAGACCTTGAAGGAAAACACAAGGTATTTTATTTGAATTTATTTTACATGGGCTAGTTATTGCTTCAAAAAACTAAAGTATTCTCATCTAAGTCATAAACACCTAACAGATGGATTTGTATTGTTTTAAAATATGATGAAGCAATTGCCTGATTACCTTTACTTTCCCCAATTCAAGTTAAGTTACATCAAGGTTGATTGGACTATAGTTGGAAACCTCATTCATGAGCCATTATTTCAGAAGAAAAATAAAAATAAGATATTGTGATTGGTTTTGTTTTTAAAAAGTAATACTAGATCATCTTCTAAGTGGGCAAAAAAAAACTGTTCTGATGTAAAGACCAATTGAAACAATATTTTTCCAGTGTGTGGAGAACGTGTCCTATTCTTGCTGTCCTATATGTCGAGAGTATTTGCACAATATTTTTTCAGTGTGTGGAGAACGTGTCCTATTCTCT